AATAATAATAATAATATCTGGCGTTTAACGCCAGATATTAAATTGTGGTTTTCCAAAACCACAATTTTATTATGAGGGACGCCCTTTTGGAGGGCTACGGAAATTTCGACCACCTGGTATTCATTAACGTGCATATAATGCTAAGTACACAGGCCCCAACATTTCCGCCTCAATCGAAAATGCAGCTGCCGCGGTCGGCATGGCCAGAGACGCAACGTTTACACGGCACTAAACGCGGCACGCGTTTCAACTGGCATGCACGTTTACCATCGACGCGGTTACTCTCTTTGCGTGATGCTCGAGCTTGACAGTACCGCAACACTGTAAACACGAATAGAAGCGAAACGATAGAGTTTTGCTCGCCGGTACTCACCTCACAAAGCCGCGACAATACAGGGTCCAAGTCAGTCCTTCCGATACGCTGGAGCCACACTTCTTGCCGAGCGGCATTGTCTTTTCCTCGCGGAAGCGAAAATAGCTCCTTTCCTCTGCTGTACCTGCTTTTGCAATCGCTGGCACAGCAGGTCGGCATCCCGAAACGTGCAGGATGACCGTGCACACACTCACGCGCGGTCGAACTCCGGCTACACAACAATACCAAGCGCGCACGCCTAGCCACAAACACCGTGAAAGTGGACAAACAAAATGGCGTTTGCGATACCTTCACAAAGGCTAGTGCGTCATGCTGCAGATTCTGAGCACCGCCGAGTTTATTACACGGACAGTAGTGGCGCTGCCACCAAGAACGTCACCTTCTTAGGCCTAGGGGTTGGCCGAACAATAGCCCCGAGAAAGAGATCGGGCACTGGAGACGAGGGCCAGGTGCAGTGCCAAGAGTGCCTGCGCTGGTGCTTCTTGGGCGAGACAATGTTCGAGAGTATGGCGGACGCTAAGAAGGCGCCCTTCGAATGCAGGCCTTGCGAGCGGACAAGGCAGGGCTTCGACCGCCTTGAGAAGCAGATGAATGCGAGGGTGAAGGAACTGGAGGGGTACCTGAGGGAGGAAAGAGAAGCGCGGGAGGCTCTCGAGGCGCAAGTGGCAGAGCTTGACAAGGCGGGTCAGACGAAGACCGCCCAGTTGGTGCGCACGGTGGCCGAACTGGACAAAGCTCGGGAAAAGCAGGCCCAGCTTGAAAAGCGGGTGGAAGAGCTCGTGACTCCGGCGGCAGGAGACGACGCGAGTGCGCGGGCTCAGAACAACGAGCGGCACGCCGGCGGGAACGCAGACCCACAGGGGGTGACTGATGCAGCGCGCACGAGCGGTGTCCGTCAACGCAGAGCGGACTCGGGTAACAAAGAAAGCCCCGAGGCGGCGCCGGGAAGTGGGGGATTGCCAGCCAGGTCCTTGGCTTCCGTGGTCAACCACAGTAGTCCCCGAACACCTGCAAAAGTGCCGGCTAAAGACCAGAGGAGGCGCCAAGTGATTGTTGTCGGCGACTCCAACATGGCCAGGGTGGGAGAGGTGATTAAGGGGAGGGTGGGAGACGACGAACGCGTGAAGGTGAGCAAGCTTCCCGGAAAAAGAGTAGGGGAAGTGATGCAACAAGCAAAGGAGCAACTGCGGGATAGAATGGAGGACCGCAGTTTAGTAGTGGTAATGGGGGGTGTGAACGATGTGTTGCAGGGACGCGGGGGAGGGTTCGCAAAGCAGATTGCGAAGGGGATCACTGAGCTGAGGACGACCTCGGAGGATGTGCACATTGCTGTCTGCACGGTGCCGGAGGTGCAGAAACAGGGAGTCCACGTAGAAAGGGCGGTGGTTACGGCAAACAGGGAGCTTTGGACTCTGGGTAAAACGATGAAGTTCGAGGTGGTCAACCTGAACCGAAACCTGGTCCATGCAGGCCGCAACAGGGCGTTTGTGTCTGACGGCATACACTTCAGTAACCGTCTAGCTGAGCATGTAGGGCACCGATTGGCAGCCCGCGCGGTAGCTTTTTTGGGGCTAGGAAGAAAACACAGGAGGTTGGGCCCCCGAAAGTAAGCGAAAAGCAGATAGCAGACATCGTCAATAGCATCGAAAGAGAATTAGAAGCACAGCCAACAAAGGTGTGGGAATATGACGAGGTTGTTAGCTCTATACAAAAGGAAATAAACAAAGTAAGGAAAAAAAAACCGCTGGAGGGGTAAACGGAAACCACGAAGCTGGTGGGACAAGGAAATTAAACTGGCTATTGAAGGGCGACGACGGGCCTCTAGACTGCACAGAAAAGCAAAGCAAATGGGATATCAGGATGATGAGGTGCAGTTACGGTGGAGCCGGTACCGAGAAAAGAAATTTGAGGTGCAGAAACTAGTACAAGCGAAGATTAAAGCTGCGAGTGAGAAATGGGTATCAGACATACGTAAGAAGGATAACAGCGCCCCCCCAAAATTATGGAACAATTTGAAAGCATTGGGAACGACGATTAAAGAGATGCAGACTCAGATACAGGACGGGGACGGTAACGTTCTCCTGGGGGACAGCGCATTAGAATACCTACATGGAGTCATAGAAAATACTTTCGGCCAAGCACGCGAGAGGGCGGCTAACTGGACACAGGTGGAAAATAAGAGAGTGGCAGATGAAAAATTTAATATCGAATTTTTGGACTGGAAAAAGGCAGAACACAGTGTTCCCAAAAGTACGGCAACAGGACCGGATGGAATCCCGATAGAGATTATCAACCATTTGGGACCAGCGGGACAGGCGCACTTGTATGGAGCCATCGAGCGCGCTATAAAATCCAAGAGGATTCCTGCGCACTGGTGCGAAAGTAGAATGAGTTTGATCTACAAAGGCAAGGGAGAAAGGGACAAGGCGAGCTCATACAGGCCGATTACAGTCACGTCAGTGCTCTATAGATTAGCTATACAAGCCATCAAAGCCGAGTTGTTGAAGTGGGTTGAAAGTAACGGTATTTTAGGGGAACTGCAAAATGGATTTAGGCCGGGTCGACGCTTGGAAGACAATCTTTTCGTCATAACCCAGACCATCGAAATTTCGGCAGCACAGGGCAGACCAACATGGCTACTGTTTCTGGACATAAAGGGTGCCTATGACAACGTGGACAGGGGATTGCTGTGGCATATACTGGAAGAGGAGGGGATTGGGTCGGAATCTGTAGGGCTGCTAAGGGCAATATATGAGGATAACAAGGCACACATTACATGGGAAGGGCGTACATACACAGAGCCCGTGTACATTCGAAGAGGTTTAAAACAGGGGTGCCTTCTTTCGCCATTGCTGTTCACACTGTACATTAGAGGAATGGAAAGACGACTAGAGGAGAGTGGATTGGGCTTTGATTTGTCACACCGAAGCAATGGAGTGTTTGTGGAGCAACGGATTCCGGCATTGATGTACGCAGACGATATAGTGCTGCTGGCGGATAATGCGGAAGAACTTCAAAAACTGGCTGACATTTGTGGTGATGAGGCAACGTACCTAGGCCTACATTTTAACCCACAGAAATCTGGAGTCATGGTGTTCAACGAGGAAGCTCATGTAGCACCAATAAGGATACAACAGGAAGACATACCATTAGTAAATAAGTACAAATACTTGGGGATCTGGCTTAATGAAGGAAAAGGCTACCTGAATGCTCATTAAGAACACCTCAAACTGAAAGGGAGACGAAATGCAGCAGTAATGAAACATAGAGCACTTTGGGGACACAATAAGTACGAGGTAGTACGAGGCATCTGGAAAGGGGTAATGGTGCCGGCGCTCACGTTCTCTAATGCCGTATTATGCTTAAAGTCAGATATCCTGTCAGGGCTGGAGGTTAACCAAAAGGCAGTTGGCAGGTTAGCTCTGGGAGCTCACAGTAAGACTACAAACGAGGCTGTACAAGGCGATATGGGTTGGGCTTCATTTGAGGCGAGGGAAGCACAAAGTAAAATACGATTTGAGGAGCGACGTAGACATTTAGATGAGAAGAACTGGGCAGCCAGAGTGCACAGATACCTGTACCTGAAAAGTGTGGACACCCAATGGCGGAAGAGGACGCGAAAGCTGGCGACTAAATATAACTTGACCGCGGCAAATAAGCAAAGGGGGCCAGTTAAAAAGCAAGTGAGGGAAACAGAGACGCTCATGTGGAAAGAGAGGATGGAAAAGAAGGGATCCCTGGGAATCTACAAGGCAAGCAAACAAGAGATCCGGAAAGAGAACTTTTATGACAACAATAAAGGTAGTGCGTTGCTCTTTGAGGCGCGGGGCTGGCTGCTTGAGAACTCTAACTTACAGGAGCAAATATTCGTCACAGGATGAGACATGTGTTGGATGTGGCATAAATAAAGAAACAATCGACCACATAGTCATGGAATGCCAAAAGATTCAGCCGGATAGAAATGGGGGGAAGGTCACACTTCCTGAGGCGCTGGGCTTCGCGGTTGATGGAAGCATTAACTAGTCAGCAGTAGGTATTATTAAGCAGCGGCTGGAGTATTGGTGGAGGAAAAGCAGAGAAGTCGATAAAATAACACCCCAGCCAAGAGTAGCGGCTGGGCAAAATTGATTGATATGTGGGGTTTAACGTCCCAAAACCACCATATGATTATGAGAGACGCCGTAGTGGAGTGCTCCGGAAATTTCGACCACCTGGGGTTCTTTAACGTGCACCCAAATCTGAGCACACGGGCCTACAACATTTCCGCCTCCATCGGAAATGCAGCCGCCGCAGCCGGGATTCAAACCCGCGACCTGCGGGTCAGCAGCCGAGTACCTTAGCCACTAGACCGCCGCGGCGGGGCAGGCTGGGCAAAATTAAAAAGACATCCGAGTTGAGGGACAAAATTTAAACTCGAACTATTAAGGTAGGCTAGATGGCGCATGCCGTCACCCCGATTCACAGGGGAGGCCTTTATTCATCATCATCATCATCATCATTATCATCATCATCACCGTTGAGCGTGTCTGCATGCAAACGGTAGGCTATCGCGTTGAGTATTGCGTGCTTGCGGTGATGTCTTTTGCCACTGCATGCCACTTGCTTATATACACGTCAAATCGTCGTATTTAACGTTACTTTTTGTATTTTTTTTCTTTCTCAATCACTCTTTTGGTGCATCGCCTAGAACCGCCGCGCACAGATGCGCTTTAACGGAAACATGAGCACAAGCTCATCTTCGCGGCCAGGAGCCATACAGCCCCTCAACTAGCGCCGTTTACTATCTGCAATGCACGCGAGGGGAGAGGAGTCTGCACATTGACACGAATGGCGCACGTACGAATGGCGCTACTTTAGTTTATTTTTCAGGGACTGTAAGCGTTTCTAGACTTTGCTGCAATCGTGCGTTGCAGATCGCAGTAGGACAAACGCTTTTCTAAAACTTATATGGCGCCCGCGGCGCTTGCAAAACTCCCTATTGAAACGGACATGTAGTACATGTTGCATGAGGTTAGGGAGCAAGATCCTTACAAAGAACCCACGCGTTGGTTCACGATAGCGGAAAACCTCTCCCTGGCGCTCGCAAGAGCTATCAGCTCGCGAGTCATCAGGGAGAGGTGCGACCTTCTCCTGGCGCAATTCGTTTGGGAAGACCGCGCCAACCTGAGAAAGTAAGTGCACTTTTACTTTCAGTAGAATGTAGCACTGTCTCCGAGGGTGTTTAGGTGGGTCCAAGCTAAAGGTGCCACTTTTGCAGATCAGGAACAGAAGAACAATATGGGGAAAAGGAACATCTACAAGACATTCTTGGGGTAGCCAGAGGACATGGCTACCGCATCCGTCCTGGGGCGGCCAGGAGGGTGGCGGGGTGCAACAGGCTTCGCTCTGCCAGGCTCCGTTGCCGGCTGCGTCGTGCGGGCATAGCCGGCAGCGTCAAGCGAAGGTTCGCGACGGTGGTGCGTGACTCCGCCTGTGCCTCAGAAGACTCCGCGGACGGCGCAGCGACCACCGGCGTGAGAGAGCCGAGTGTAAGTATGATGATTAGTGAATCAAAGAATTGTTGCGGATTCATCCAAGTTCCCGCAACACATAGTAGTAGCGCTCGAGAGGCATGGCCCCGAGGTGTCGCCTGCCACGTAGTGAAGGCACAGCAAATAAAAAAAAAGTGTCGGCGACGTTGTGTATGTGGAGATTGCAATTGTGCGACCTCAGTGAAAATAACGGAAGCAGTGACCGAAAATGGCTGTCCTTCTTTAATATGAAACTTCCTACGCCATTTTTCTTTTAATTATAAATACTCGAAGCAATCGTTGACACAAAGTCAAGCCTGCAAATGTCACTTTATCGTCGCAGGCATACCTTGGCGTGCGGGCGCGGACTGGTGCGTTGTCTTAGCATGCATGAGGGGTTTGCTTGATCTCAGTTTACGCACTTCATGTGCTTAGCATGCCTACTCAGTAAGAAGGCAGAATACACATAGCACAGTGCATGATGGTTAAAGAGTGGAAGCAAGTGGTAAATTGTGAAGGTAATTTTCATAATACTTGATTGGAGATGTCATGCCATATGAAACCTTTTCGTGCAGGGAAGGTGATGTGATCTGAATGAAAAGTACTGTTAATGCGAAGGGTGTGCCAGGAAATGGAGCACCTTACGGGCAACCATAATTTCCATGTTAACAGTTATTAAAAGCTCTAAAAAAAGAATGCTTTGCCTAGTGAAGTTGAATGTTGGAAAAATAATTGAACATGGTGTATCGGTAAAACATAGACGACATGTGCTGTGTGTAGGTAGGTGACATGCATTCTTGAATCAGATCGCCCATTGCCCTTGCTATATAGGTTGAAACATGTGCAAGCTTCAGCTGTAGCTTGCGCATGTTTGGATTACTGCCTGTCATTGATCGCACAACTATGTACATTTGATGTTTTTTAACACTGCTTTAACATAGTTTTATAGGAGAAATGTTCAGTGGTAGGTCTACTCAAGAATATTTCATCCTCTAATGACTGCATGTCATGAAGCGTTTGTAACACACTGAAATGGTAAATATGTGAACTGCAATTTCATGGGCAATCGTCATTTCATTCAGGGGCGACAGGCGCTTTCGAGAGCGTGGAGGTGGTTACCTCGGCTCCTGAAGAGCCCTACGAAGCGCTTGTCCCCCTAACCTCGCTGCACACGGAGCAGCGCAACCCTCCTCAAGCAACAGCTAGCTGCACTGGTCCAGCAGTCGGTGCTGGTGCTGCCACAGCTGCAGCAAGGGCACGCAGAGGTGATGTGAAACTACTGCGGCAGTGAGAAATTCCACTGGCTATATTCTAATTATGCAGACAGCAAAAAGAGCCGAAGAGCAAAAAATGGAAGAAAAAGGCTTTAAGGTTTCCATTATTGTACCACGCAATAAGGAAAAAGTACTCCATCTGAATACAACCCTAAAAGTCTGCCGTACTTTCTTCTCTAAGGGGAACAAACACAAGCCTGTCTAAATGGGCACACTCTGTACAGAATTGTTGTACTATTGGCTCATTAACTATTTTTCACCGAGCATTGTCTGGTGCAGTTAGAAGCCGCACAAACAACTGCCTGCCAGTGGCGTACCAACTCTTTCGCGATTGGGGGGGCAAGTCTACCTCACTCGTCAGCCGGTACAGTGAAACCTTGTTAAACCGTAGTTGGCCGGAGGTCGCAAAAAGTACGTACTAAACTGTAGTACTGCTGAACCGAAATAGTGTCGGGTCGCTCACTTACCTGTCAAAGAAAGAAACCTTCAGGGAGTGCGATGAAAGAACAAAAAGCGTGCACTAATTTATTAACTTCGCGTGACAGTCTGTAATCTTCATTTGACGACGCGGCGACCTAGCAGCAACGACAGCGGCCTCAAACTCACTCATGCTGTGAGCCAGCTTTTCCGCCAGCCTCCTCTTCTTGGCAAATAACCGCATGACGCTGACGCAATGTGCAGCTTCGGCCACTGTCGGACCTGGATCACCCGTGTTGTCGCTTTCCATGTCGTCCTCATCACTATCATTTGGCGACACTTCGACAACCGAGGCAACAAAGGCTTCGTCGGACATGTCCGGAGATGTCTGCACATCGCTGTCTGCGTCTCTGAAGTCGGGGAAGGAAATGCCTTCCGTAACGCCCTGCCGCTCCAGCACTTCAGCTAGCAGAGTTTTGCAAGCTTCGTCTACAATGTCCGAAGTCTGGTCGATGGTGTCACTGGAGTCATCTGCGTCGCCCGCACACACACTGAAGCCAGCACGCTTGAAGCAATTTTGAACTGTCGTTGCTTCAACCTGCCGCCACGAGTATTCGAGCAGGTGCATCACGCCAATCAGGTCGATGGAGAATAATTTGCCACATTTAATGGCGAGAAGAAATCTGCGCAGCAGATTCTTCTTGCAGAGCTGTATTACAGCTCAAATGATGCCTTGGTCCAAGGGCTGGGCAATCGCTGTTGTGTTTGATGGCAGAAACGCCAACTTCCCAGCCGTCAGGTTGTCCAGGGCGACGTGCGCCGAAGCGTTGTCTAAAATAATAACTCTTCTGTTCTTAGCCGCAAAACGACGATCGATGAGACGCACGTACTCCTCAGAGTTTTGCCGTCATCCATGCTTTGGTGTTGCTGCGATAGATGACACCTGATGGCAACCGGGCGCCTTTGAAACATCTAGGCTTCGCCGACTTTCCAGTCACGAAGGGTAGAGTTTTGTTGGTTTCAGTCATGTTTGCGCAAAACGCCACTGATATTCTATCTTTTGCATGCTTGCCGCCGGTGCACGTCTCGCCTTTGAACGCGAGCGTTTTGTCTGGTAGCAGCTTAAAGAATAGCCCCGATTCGTCCATAATAAAGATGTCATCAGGTGCGTACTCATCCAAGATGTTCTTCAGCTGACCATTTTGCCACTGTTCCGTGCCATCCATCTCAGCAGCAGCACCTTCTCCCGAAACAGTCTTCGTGGAAATGCCGTGCCTCGCCTAAATCTAGCCAGCCAGCCATTGCTGCACACGAAGTTGTCATGGTTGAGCTGTGAGGCAAAAACCAGGGCCTTCTTCACGAGTAGGGGTCCGCTGATAGGCAGATTTTTTGACCGTGCAGCTTTTAGCCACTTCACCAACGCCTCCTCTACATCCGAAAATGCCGAACCGCATAGCCGGCACCTTTTCACAGTTGCAGCAGCACTGCCTAGCAACTTCTCTCTGGAATTCCAAATTCCACACACCGTGGTTAACGGCAGGTCCTTTTCGCGTGCCAGTGCCGATTTTTTCGTGCCACTTTCAATAGCACTAATTATGTCCAATTTCTCCTCTATTTTCAGCACTCGATGCTTTTGTCCCAGTTTCGGCATGACACAAGTATGAAGCAGCACAAGCACACATACACAACACGTGAAAAACGACGCGAGAGCTGTACGGCACGGATCAACCAGAGAACACCTATGCACGGCGCCAAAGGAACAAGGAAAGCAAAGCAAGCGCACACCGTGTTTGGAAGGAGGAAGGATGCTATGAGCGTCCCCTTTATAACGGGGTGGTGACAAGTATGCCACCAGGCTCGACAAAAAAAAAACCTTTTTTCCCTTTTTTTTATGTTGGCCTAATGCGTGTTTGTGCAAAGCGCCATCGCGTGGACAACACCAGAAGCCTAGCCGGCTGAGTGCTTCTTGTTGCAGAAAAATCCAAGATGGCGCTCACCAACACAGCCGCCACTATCTCCAACACAAACAAGCGAGGCATGTTTCGATCTCTGGGGCTTGATGTTCTGTCGGGACGCCCAGTGGGGGACGTCATGCCGCGGCGAGTGCGCAACGAAAATTGGAAAAACTACTTATTAACCGATACATACACGATAAGCTGGTACGGCTTATGCGGATACAAAATGCATTGTGTTCAACGGCCACCGAGTCAGGGATTTGACTTCACTACTTTTAAAACGAAACTACTGTTTTTGCGGGTACGGTTTAACGAGGTTTCACTGTATATCTATATAAGGGAAAGAAGTGTAAACCTAAGGGCTCGTTTTTCTGTGTTTTGACACAATAATAATGCGACCTAACAGACAATAATGCCAATGAATGTATAGGGGAAGTTATTAGAACCAATGTAATGTAAATAAGAAGAAAGAAAAGTGGGTGAAAAAATAGCTTGTTGCGAGCAGGAATCGAACCTACGACCTTCGAATAACGCGTTCGATGCTCTACCACTGAGCTATCTCCCAGCCACTTTATTGGGTGTGTCAGTCAGCGCCACCTGTAGCCATATATATAACCTACAAGGAAAATCATCAAAGCGGCAATGTTGACAAAATTTCACTATGTTGTTACATAGCCTCTTTAACAATTTCATTTTCCCGTGGGAACATGATTGAGTAATTACTGTTGGGATAGAAAACTACGCCTTACTTGTTCGTTTTCCCAGCGTGCAGCCAAGAGTGACCACTGTCGAAAGTGGGAGGGTTCAGCTCCCCCCCCCCAACTTTTCTCTGTGGGGGGGGCTTGCACCCCCCTTGCCCCCCGGCTGGTACGCCTGGCCTAACCTGGCCTTGGCCTCTGTGGACTTCTAAGGTTGTATCCGTCTATTACTTAATAGAAGCATTCCTGGGCCGGGCACGTTGAGAAAGTGTAACATGTGCATACGCTTTCTTGCACACTTTGCCACCCACGAATAAGGAGCGGTTGTTGCGGAACATGAAAATTTTTATTAGCCTGAGGCAGCAGGTACATGAACTATCGAAACCACATTTAAATGTAACATGACTAAACATCATTTCAGAATACCAGAACAGCACAACGGAAATGGTACATATAACTCGTACAGCAAACATGAACTTCTCTGTAAGCACGTCTCTACAAGCAAGGCTCCCAGTGAGACCATGTGACATATGCATAGGTTGGCAAACTTGTTGATGAGCCGACAGACTCAGTGTGGGCCTTGAGACCATTTAGGTGTAGTCGAAGAAAAAAAAGCAGAGTTTGAGCTTGAGTTAGCTGATGTGACCTTGAGTGTGAAACGAGCTTATTCTAGTGAGATGGAGTCTGGGTGAGGGTTAATCAGTCAGAGCCCAGGTGAGCGTTTAGAAAATTGCAGAAAATGCGAATCCAAGCAAGCCCTGATGGGGAATTTTTCTGCTAATTGAGGTACAATAGTTCTGCCAACCTAAGGACGTATTCGGGAAGTAAAAACGGCGCAAAAATATAGACAAGGACAGAGGAAGAGACGACACCTCTTCCTCTGTCCTTGTCTATATTTTTGCGCTGTTTTTACTTCCCAAGTATGAACCACCAAGTAGTCCAACTTTCGCTATTATTGCTATGGACGTATGAAACTTACAAGGGTGTCGAACGCTGTGCTAAAAGGCTCGGTGACATCGCGACTTGAAGTCGAACGTACAACGCGTACAGAGCTTCCTAGGGTCATGAAGGCACAGCAGTGCACAATGAACATTACACAGTCAATACCCTACTGCAGCATTTCTCTTCGAAGCAAGACAAAACGTATCTAACAACAAATGTGCCCAGTTGGATATATTTCTTGTGAGTTGAAAGAAATGTTAACCGCAATGTTAAAAAAAATGTAGCTGTTACGAGGGTAAAGAAATGCGGCAAGGCTACCAGTCGCGGCAATAGAATTACTCTTCCTTTCAACTCGCATCGCTGGCAAGGCATCAAGTACTGGGAGTTGCCTTGGCTTGTCTGTCATGTGCAATGATACAGTTTTTCTTATTGTGCAACCACAATGGTTTAACGCTTTGAACTAGTGTACTCTCATTGTCAGTTACATGTCAGAGTACATTGCTGCCTACTTGTGGTGGAAGAAAATTACATCAGGTCACACGATGCAGAATGCATAAAATGTTTATTATAGTGTAATGCTCCACGAATTTGTTTCCTTGCTTTTTGTGTTTTGCAATGTCTAGAAACATGCCGTGCTTGCTGTGATTTCAGGAAGGAGGCAAACTGCTGACCGCCACCTTGAATTTTTTGAGAAGCGGCTCGCCTTAGAGGCCGAAATGCGTGAGAGGCAGCCCTCGAGGAAAGACGCCTAAGTGTTGGAAAAAAGGCGCCCCTGGCCATTCAAGAGCTGGAGCTGCAGCTGCAAATAACTGTAGAATGCAAATAACTTTCAAGAAACTGTGGATTAAAATGAAAAAAATGTTGTTTTGAAAAGTGTTGAAAGCTGATGTCATGCTGTTTCCTTTTAGTTCGAAGCATATAAATGAAATGACATTTTAAAGACGCTAATTGCTGTGCTCGAAGAGAACAGTTTGCACCTTTTGTATGTGTGCAGTTTCCTGGACCAAGCATCTGGCCAGCCCTTCAATTGCTTTGTATAATTATAGTTACTATATAGCATTCAAGTTTTGGGACAAAGTGTGCAGTCATTGTTAGTATGTATAATGAAGCTTACAAGTATGCAACAAGATTTGTTGAAATTTTGCATTTAATTTTGGATGTGCAGTGTGATGCATCCCAGGCAACACCAGAAACAATGAGTTGACGTTTAAAAGCCAGTCTTGTCTCCAAGCAAAACAGATTATCTTAATCATAGATGGCAGTCACTGATTCATTCTTTCAACAATTATGGCACCAATTTTGCTGATTATAAAAATGCCAGCAATAGTATGATGCCAAATTATGTTGCTGTTCCTACTTGTCACTCTCGACAGTGAACAACTAAATGCACCGATTGTAAAACGCTGACATGTTGCAGCAAATTAACCACGGAAAACGCTGAACAAGCTGGTTTGTATGAAAAAATAAATGTCTAAAAAAGGTGTTAAAAGATCTAGCAAAAGTCTTTTTAGAATCTTTGCAAGAAGTTTACTAGGCTTCTGATAGTACAAGTATAGTAAACTTTTACAAAGGTTATTTAAAAAATCTAGAAAGACGTTTTTTAGACTTCTTGCTAGAAGTTTTCTAGCCGTATAATGTGGCGTTAGCACAGCTACAGGAGGTTTTTAAGCTGCTTAGGTTTAAATAACATCTCAACACAAGATTTCTTATATACTTTTGGACTATCCTTTTTGAACGTTTACTAGAAGTTTTCTAGCTTTTCTTGTGTTTCGTGGATTGCCATGTAGTATTCTCAGCGTTTGTTCTGAGACCGTCCCCTTTGCGAAGGCCCGTAGTGCTGCCATGGAATCACTGTAGACGACTTCTATATTATCCATTTTGAGTGCTAAGGCGATGGCCACCTGTTCCCCAATGATTGGGTCTGTCGTTCTGACCATCGCTGAGTTGACGACCTTGCCAGCCCCATCGACCACCACTGCCACAAAAGCTTTCCCATTGGCGTAGAAAGCCGCTTCAACAAATACGATCCCTCGTTCCTCGTTTGAGACTTGACGAAGTATAGTCCTGGCCCTCGCTACTCTTCTTCCGATGTTGTGTTCTGAATGCATGTTTCGTGGTATAGGAGATACCGTGATATTCTCCCAGATGTTGTCAGGGATATCATTGTATTTGCATCTATTTGCCATTCTTCCGATGTTGTGTTCTGAATGCATGTTTTGTGGCATAGGAGATACCGTGATATTCTCCCAGATGTTGTCAGGGGTATCATTGTAATTGCATCTAATTGCCAATGGGTGTTGGCCCAGCTCCTGCAGGATCATTCTCCCCGACCTTGTAGATAACCTTGTAAACTGTGCTCTCTCTTGGGCTTCTGCTATTTCTTCGAGCGTGTTCTGAATGCCAAGCTCAAGTAGACACTCGGTGCTGGTATGTATGGGTCTATTTGTGTTTGTCTAGTGTTTCTCTTGGGAGAAGCGGTGGCGCCAGAGCGGGTGCAAGTGAACTAGGCCCGTCCCGCTGCTTCGACGGCACGTGGTGTAGCAGGCTGCACCTTGTTTTTTTTTTATTATCCAATAGCCAGCGCCCGTGGTTTTTGCCTAATCGTCATTCCAGCCATTTTGCTGGCAAAAACAACGAGTTTATTTGTGTGCGTGTCCTTTCTGAGTACCAAACATGAGTTTCTTTTTTGTGTATGTTTTTTTATGATCGACCAACAGATGCATACTACCTAGAAAGAGGAACTGTGGGTGTAAGAGAGAGAAGGTGATATCAACTGCCATCATCATCATGCCGGCGCTGGCCCCTTTGCACAGGATGGCATTCACTACAGTGGTGCGACGGGCAAGAGGGTCGGTAATAGGATGGGTCGTCAAGCCACAGCTTTTTTAGGGGGACCCAGAGCCCTGAGGCCAACAGTAGCAAAAGACGATTCTAAAGGGGCACAAATATTCAAGCCACACGGTGTCCGTGGAAGAAAAACTCGACGTAAGCACAAGGGCCGAGCTAAGTCAGACGTAGGCTATATTAACATGCAGGGTGGCAGGAATAGGTTAAAATGGGAAGAGACAAAAGAGCAGTTGAGGCAGGAGGAGCTGATGGTATATGGGATTGTGGAGACACATGTTCGGGACATGGAGCAACCACCTTGCAATGCGCACTACGTATGGGAATATTGCAATAGAACAGAAGGCAGCAAAAAGGGGGGTGGAATTGGAGCATTCATACATAAATGTATGGGTTGGCAAAGAGTCAAGCAGGGATGCATGGAACATTTATGGTTAAGAGAGAAAATAGCTGGGCAGATGACACTCCTTGGTTTGGTGTACTTGTGGACTGGAGCAAAGGCCAGAGAGGAAAACCTGGCAATGGTGGAGTGTATATCAAAGGACATTGAGGAATTAGGAGGAGAGTGCAACATAATTATACTAGGAGATATGAATGTGCACATAGAAGATATAGATGGGTATATAGATGGGTATTTACCCAACAGGTAAAATGATCATGGATATGTGTGAAAGGCATGATTTGATCATTTGCAGCAGTACTGAGAAGTGGGAAGGGCAAATAACATGGGAGGTAGGAAGGCTGCAGTCGATGATAGATTATGCACTGATGTCGCATAGGATGTATGATAGGCTCAGGGGAATGTACAGAGATGAATGTGGCTCCAGAAGTCTGGGTAGTGATCACAAACGTATCAAGCTAAGTTTTCGAAAAGCCGTGAAAGTGGGAAGAAGACAAGATGAGCAGATACAGGAAACATTTTATTCAGAAAGGCAAATAGAAATAGCCACTAAACAAAATGAGAAAGTAATCACAGATGATAATAAAACAGTGTGGACGTACATGAATCTAATAAGACTGTTTGAGCATGATAGAGCTTGCTAAGGCACGTGACAAGTCACCCCGGAAAAGGAGACACAAACGCAAAAGTTGGTGGGATGAAGAAATTAAAAGAGCCACAGCAAAACATAAGGAAGCCTCTAGGGAACACAGACATGCTAAGCAGTGGGGTAAACCGACAGAAGATGTTGAAAGAAAATGGGACATCTTTATAAGCTGTAGAAGTGAAGCATTCCTTCTGATCAATGAAAAGATTAAAAGGAAGGGAGCTCAGTGGCTAGCAGAAGTACATAAAAAGGATAGAAAGACGGCTGCGAAAACTTGGAACCATCTAAGCTCCCTAAAAAATGAGACAAGCCTAGAACAGACGTTTAAAACTACAGCTCATGGTGCTAGGCTAGAAGGGGACGGAGCTATTGAATATATAAGAACAAGGGTGACAGAAAAAATTCAACAAAGAAATGCTTTATACACCACAATAGACCAGGATGGATCAAGTGGCGCAAAGTCTCCATTTTCACAACGAGAGTGGGAAAGGGCTGAGAAGAGGGTTCTTAGTAGTACATCAACAGGCCCAGATGGCATTCCAATTATGCTGATAAAAACATTGGGTCCGAAGTCTAAACAGACTGAGAGAGGCAGTGAGCAAAACAATAATCGATGCTGAAGTCGCTGATGGATGGAAGCTTAGCAGGATGAGCATGATCTATAAAGGAAAGGGGGATGAACACAAAATATACGTAACAAATAAAGGTAACAGGAATGCAGCAGTCATGAAAAATAGGGCAATGTGGAATTACAATAGGCATGATGTTGTGAGAGGAATATGGAAAGGGGTCATGGTTCCTGGTCTGACGTTCGGCAGTGCGGTCTTGTGCATGAGATCAGAAGTTCAAGCAAGATTAGAAATTAAGCAACGTGGAATAGGTAGGCTTGCTTGAGGAGCTCACGGGAATACACCAAATCAGGGAGTACAAGGTGATATGGGATGGACATCATTAGAGGGCAGGGAAGCTAGCAGCAAGATAAAATTTGAGAAGAGATTGATAGAAATGGAGGAGGAGCGTTTGGCTAGGAAGGTTTTCAGCTACTTGTACATAAAGAATGTCGATACAAAATGGAGGAAGCGAACCAGAAAACTGACGGGTAAATACTTAGAAAACAGCAGGGGGCCAAACCAAAAAGAACTATCGGTTAAGAAGAGGGTGAAGGAAACGGAGACTGACATGTGGAGAATTGGCATGATTAAGAAGTCCGCACTAGAGAACTATCGAACTTTTAAGCAGGAAATTGCCAAGGAAAGGATCTATGATAATACAAGGGGTAGGGTAGCCACCCTACTCCGGGTAGTTCTCTACTGTTTGACGCCAGGACAGGAGTATTGCGAACCAAGAGTTATCGGCCCAAATACAAAGGGTTAGACACGATATGCAGTGCATGCGGAGAGGAGGAGGAAACTGCCGAGCATTTGATAATGTTCAGTACAGGGCTTCACCCTATAGTTCAGGATGATGGCGCAGAGTTTTTCAAAGCACTGGGGTTTAGAGACAGGGAGGACAAAATAGACTTTAAGCGGGTAGAATAACTAAAAGGAGGTTATGTGATTGGTGGCTAAAGTCAAGGCAAGAGTGAAAATTAAACCATTCACTGCAAAGTACCAGTCCTGAACTTCACTATTTAAAAGAAAAAAAAGATAAATGTAATTTTTGGTTCACTAAGTAGTACGGCTAGATGGCGCTAGCCGCCGCCCGATCTAAAGGCTACAGCCACATCAGTTCATCCATCTATCCAATATTTGTTTGTATTCGCGGCGGGCCGCATTGCCACGTGCGTCCGTGCGTGTCGAAAACGCCCGGAGCAGGACAAGTTGCTATTCGCTGTCATGGGATTATCAAGCAGGCTGCTGAAGAAGCTGCGTGATTACGGTAAAAAAGCAGAGCTACTGCTGTCCGGATTCTATTTAAAGACGTCGTTTTGTTTCTCAGGTGACAGTTTTCTGGATGACGGGGACGGAACCACCCGGTCAGACGCATTGAAGCATGACCACAAAAAGTCGAGGCGCTCTGTAGCAGATCAGCGTAGAAAGTGCACCTCTGCACCGACGAAGCTTACTGAGATAGAGCGCATGCGAATGGAACTCGGCCTTGACGAGGCCTGCAACAAACCAGCTGACGACGCACAGCCAGAGCCAGTTTGCGAAGATCGACGAGTGGCTCCGACCATAATATTCAACGATCCAACCAAGCGCAAGGTTTGCTTTGTCGCATAACATTGAAAATTATTTTTGAAGGGTAGAGCATTATTGGTCGCAAAAGCCTCGTCGTCTGCTGCAAAAATCAGCTTTCGCTGCCGTATCTCAAAGAAAACGAGAAAAGCCTACTGTGCCGCTGATTTTAGCTCCTAGTTTGGTCACGTTTTTTTTTCCTTTCTTTCCGCAGGACAAGCAGTGTCGTCATATTATGGTGGGATTAGTTGATGGTGTGTGCACACTGAACCATATATTTTTTATTGATTCTTTGTTATAGTGATTGAGATTTAACCCCCAAGTCGCATTAGTTCTCTCATCCGGTAATTTGTAAAATAAGCATCTTAAAGTAGGGTCATGCAATTTGGTTTTTAACCTTTTATTAGTAACTCACCCATTACGTACAGCTACATAAGAGTCTTGCTGAAATAATTTCACTGTGTTTTAGTGGCGCAAGCACTGAGTGGCACTCTTTGCTATCTTCCAGACAGACCGCCCTGTCAACTGCCAAGACAACTTGTCTAAGATTTCCTGGTGAAAATGAAAGTATATGTATAAAAGATGGAATGGGTTGAGCTATCGGTTGTGATAGAGGGGACATTGAGGAGGCCCTGCAATACTTTTTCATTGCATTCTGCAGCGCTAAAGTTTGTGTAGTGCTGAATGCTGAGAGTAACACAAAAAGAATGATTGAAATTGGTTCATGGTAACAGAATTGATTAGTTTTCAAACTTGAAATTCCCAGCAGACGACATAAAAAATGTTATCTTTCGCATTTTCACTCTCCCACTGCTGCCAAAGGCCGTTTCCATTTGCCGCATACTTTTGCAGAGATGTACCGGATGACTCACCTCATGGTGGTTGTGCAGTGCTCCTAGCATCGTTGCAATTGTTTTCACATTTTCATACATAATAACAGAAATATTGCATCTTAAGAAGTATGAAGGTTGCTTTTATAATTTCTAGCACACAATAGTGCGGCCTATCTAGGACCGTATGAACATTACGCGCGACTTGTCACGTCAAACCAATTAACGCACACTACCTATATTGTCACTCCCACGTGATGAAGCATCCCTTATGATCACAAAAATAGCCGCTGTGTATCACTAAAGTCCAAAAACAGTGTGGTTTCTCCATAGCCATAAACATGTAACGGCTTTGTTTTTGATGTTGCCACTCGCGCAACGATACCTGTGCATTACATCATTGGAGAACTAGAGAGGAATACAACATGCTTAATTTGTGTTGCAGGGCCTCTTTAAGGTATTTCATAACTTAAAATGCGCTAAAGAATCGCAAACATCTAGCATGTTGTTACCTTCTCGCCACTTGCTCTCTCCCAGTCCTTCCTGCCATGGTGGCAGCTGTGTTCCGGGTTATACAGTATTGGACTTGCATATGTCAGAGGACAGGGCTCATATAGCGTGTACTTCCTTTGTCATTTGCCAGGTGTTTGGTGCCTCACCCTTCCTGCTCCACTCCCTCATATATGAGTGTGCACCTACTTATGTCACCAGTTGCTTTTCTGGGTGTGCTGCGAGCAGTGAACTAGAGGAGTAGCGTCTTCCCTCTAGCACGGCTGCTCACCAGCTGTCGGACTGTCGAGATCAGTGTAGTGTCTGAGCCACAAGTAACATTAGCGGCTTCACCTCCCTCATTATCGCTGCTGTGCAGTGAGCCTGCTACCTCTCTCCTAGCTTACTGTAGCAATGGAGTAACGTGCATAGACAGGACGTCCATGCGCATTTCTTCTACTTTTTCAAGAGCGTCTGGCTTACGTCACTTGCTGCTCTTCTGGATATGCCTTAATACTGTTAACTAGAAGTGGGCTAGTATGCTCACTGGCCTCATATGTGTGACGCTGCCAATATCTCCTTGGGCACAACAACGTGGATGGGCGAGTGCCAATACCAGAGAAATAAATGAAGGATTGGGGCCGCCTAAATATTTGCCTGCCGTATTATGTTAAATGATAGCATTGAAGGAGCACTGACACTAAAATTTTGCACCTTATTGTTGTTTTTGTTGCAATAGGTAGCTTACGACCCATTTATCAAGGCTGGAGAGCTCTTTTGCACGAGTGCGGAATGGTCATTTATCAAGAGACTTGTCTAGAGCAGTTCCAGTGGCAAAGTAAACACAGGTGGCCCTGTGACCATGCAAAGCTGTGATGTGGGCGCTGCGCACAGCCAACACAGGCAAAGCCGCAGGCATGGAGGAAGAAATTGTAGGTAGCACGAGTACAAACAACCAGCGAACACAAACACGTGATGTAGGTTTGTTTGCATTGCTGCCGCATTAATGTCAGCGTCGTGACAGGCTCCACATCTCGCTCAGTTGCGCAGCATGCACTTTAAGATTGATTTTAAATATGTTCTAGGCTATATGTTCTAGAAATATGTTCTAGGCTCCTTTGATGATTATGACATGGTATAGCATTACAACAAAATTAACGCAGGCCTACCTTATGAAATACGTTATCTTGGACGTTAGTATATTCTAGAAAAATTTGTTCCTGTGATGGCTGTTAACTACTATTTTAGCCGAATATTTTTTAGCTAACTATGAAAACTTGTAGATAGCAGAACCACGTCAAACATTCATCTTTCTGCCTTTCTCTTTCATGCCATCAACAAAGATATTGCTCTTGCCTTTTTGTGAATAAAGATAGCACAGAGCCTTATTGCCATATATCGTGTTAAATGACCTCTCTTGTATCCATTTTTGTATTCCCATTCTTTTATTATGAATGCATGTTAATTTATGGTTCGTTTATATTGATTACTATAAAATAATGCCATAAAGTTTGGAATTTCAGTATATTCTTTTGAAATGATCTACTTTCTCTCAGCCTATGTATATGAGCCTGCCTAGCTAGATAACAGTAACCTCTATTGTGGGCACTTAGTATACGCATCCTCTTCACCGGTACATTATCATCATTATCATGTGTGGCTCATGCATCCCCATCGTTGTCGCGTAGCATCATCATCTTGGTCCGATCATCTCAGCTGTCGGCTGCCGGTTCTTCGGGCCTAATAAAGGTCTTGCAAACCAAGACTCCATACGTGGTGGAGCGTGCTGTTGGATCCCCCGCCATCCTCTCGACCACTCTACCCCCTGGAGCTACGTTCAGGTCGCCGCTTGGGCCAGGTGTCCGGAAATATGTCGCACCAAGAAGAGGTCGGTGCTGCAGCCGTTCCCACTCCGCCACCGCGTGCCGCGCCTTTTCACGTCATTAACAGCCTCCAGCGTGAGCCCCATCCCTTCGCTGGTATGCGCGGGGAAGATGTGGAGGAATGGCTGGACGATTTCGAACGGGTCGGCGCTGCTAACCGGTGGGATAACACCTACAAACTCGCTTACGTGTCATTCTACCTCACGGGTGTCGCGAAGACGTGGTTCCTCAACCACTTCATGGACATCCCCGACTGGTCAGCCTTCAAAGATCAGCTTCGCCATGTCTTTGGCACACCGGCTGTCCGTTCAGCTCTCGCAAGGAAAGCTCTTGCGACTCGGAAACAGCACATCGGGGAGTCGTATACATCCTACATCGAGGATGTCCTTTCACTTTGCCGCCGGGTTGACACCCCAATGACAGAGTCAGACAAGGTACGCCAGCTTCTTAAGGGCATTGGACCCGTCGCATTCAATGCCCTTGCAATCCAGAATCCGGCTACCGTTGCTGACGTTGCGACAACCTGTCAGCGCCTCGAAGAACTTGAGTCGATGCGCCTACAACCGGACAGTGACGCGGCCCGTATTACGACTGATCCAAACCTACGAGAAACGATAAGGGTGATAATACGCGAAGAATTAGAATCAATGGGATTCACACTACCATCAGTATCTACCATTCAGCCTTCTTCAACGTCATTGCGGGATGTCATCAGGGAAGAGCTCACGTCCATGACCCACATGGCCAACCTGCAGCCCATTGTCTCTCGTACTCTACCATCGTTCCCGCACACCGCCGCCGCACCACCAGGCACCGTCAGCTCGACGTCCCCGCCACGAACGTACGCGTCGGTTGCTGCCGCACCTCCCACAAGCTTTCCCACGAGCTTTTCATCACCACCGCGTGAGCCGTCACCTGTCCCTCTGACTTCTCTCTCTCCTGGTGCAGTTAGCGCAAGCTACTACCCTCCTCATCGATCGACTCGGCCTACGTGCTATTATTGCAGCTATCGTGGTCACATTGCACGCTTTTGCCGCAAGCGCCAGCAAGACGAGCGCCGAGGGTATGACATACGCGAACGGGACTATACCGCAGGAGCCTTGTACCAGGGTCGCCGTTATTCGTCACCGCCGCGTCGGTCTCCATCTCCGCCAGCATCGGGTGAACTGCGCAGTAGTCACCGATCAACCCGACGCCGTTCACCGTCGCCTTACCGTCGCTCTTCTTCTCCTCTTCAGCCCGCTTCCCTTACTTCTGATCGGCGTCCGGAAAACTAAGCGATGCAGTTTTTGGAGGACAAACTGCATTCCAACACAAGACTCCAATTCCTCCAGCGCGCCCCTACAATATGATTGCGGTCACAGTTGAGGGAGTGGACGTTGATGCTTTGGTGGACACTGGGGCTGCGTTTTCTGTTATTCGTGCTGATTTGTGTGCCCGTCTTCGAAAAGTCACGACGCCTTATGATGGACCGACACTGGTTACAGCCCAGGGAACAATGATTCGCCCTTCCGCTCTCTGTACTGCCCGTGTACTAATCGACGAAATTCTTCATCATATAGAATTTGCTGTGCTATCCCCGTGCTCCCATGAACTCATTTTAGGCTGGGACTTTCTTTCCTCTGCTTCTGCGGCTATTTGCTGTGCACAACGTGTCGTCCATCTTACTGACACGGACCACTTGCTCAACGACGAAACCTACAGGCCACTTCGACTCATCGCTGCAGTAGACATCGAGTTACCACCAAACGAACATCAATTAGTGACAGTTTTGTCCAACGACGTCGACTCTGGTGACATTTTGGTCACTCCGTCACCGTATTGC